TCTGGATGATATGGTTCCCAATAAAATGCGAAAAAACACGATGGGAGTAATGATATTTCGTGCAATAAATAATGCTGACGAGGTGTATTGTGGGCATCGTGCTCATGGAAAGTAATAATGTGATCCGCCACTACAGTATGGAAAAAAGATAGAATTGTGAGAGGCTAATGGGAGACAGTATTGAATTTCACGCGGTTGCATTACGGTAACTCGGAAATCATTGTAGCTGGTTTTGTGCGTAAGCCTACACCCCAAAGGATGAATAGACAGACAACATACACCGGTTAGTGAGTATAATTATATGTATTCAATCCGAGTTGGGAAATTGGATAAACACTTTGAAGGGTCACGTGCAACAAACTTATTCTTATTGAGTGATAATTTTAAACAAGAAATGTAAGCTGTTCTTCTTGAACGACGAAATCATCCAATTCGATAAGCGAAAATCCTCGGGCGTGAGGAAGTTTTAATGCCCGATCTTTTCATTGCTGACTAGTAAAAAGTATCGAATATTAAGTAGTACAACAGGTGTGTTTGCACAGAAATTGAGTAAAATATTCCACTACCTTAAAAGGAACTTGAGTGTATTGTACGTTAGCTACAAAGCCTCGAAGTCTACGTAATTTTGTATTTTTTTGGTAAAGTATATGGATCGATTAAGTAAGTGGGAAGTTAACTAGGTGAGTGAAGCGCTCGGAATATACAGGCATTCTTTTAAACACTGGCATCACGCTCTGCATTTGCTCCTTCTCGCTCGAGTGTTCCGTAAACGGAGAATAAACTAACTTGGTTCGATGCAAGCGCAACCGATGAGTAACACCTACGAGAAACGCAGCGTTACACCACATTATTGATCACACACGGATAGGTGTGTGCAGTGAGAGAAAATGAATATGCTGTTAATGGACCAATCGGATGAGGATTCCTCGCGTTACGATTTCATCAGTTCTGCATCCAACGGTGTGTGTGAAAACCAACGGATATGTTAAAAGCGAACGACGAACTCCGCCCAGTGAAAAAAGCCTTAGTGCAATAGATTAGATTCAATATTTCGTTCGAGCACCATTAGCTCGAAACAATGATCAGAAAACTCGAGCATCATTGCTAATGTTTGCGAACAAGATCAGATACCTTAATTTCCGTTTTAACCAGTGCTGTCCACTAGAAACGGTCTTTATCCATAAAGACAGATAGATATTCATCACCGCTACTCAAGCAGCTACGTAAACGGAAAGAACAAGTCCATAAACAAGGACAAGGAATCCATGTCAAGCGGCTAACAAGTTCGATCAAAGCTGAAATAAATCGGCTGAACAAACTGTACATCGACACTATCCTGAGACACTCTAGTTCTCGTAGCATGTGAAGAGCTATCAACCGATTGTGTGGCAGTAGCAATAAACACAAAAAGGAAACTGTCGACGTTGAAGGACTTAATTCTGAGTTTAGTCCAGTTTCACGGGGCACTGCCCTGCCACACGTAGTCAGCTCTATGCCAACACCAACTATCGAACCCGCCACAGTCCTGAAACAGCTTCTAAGAACTAAGTTGAATAAAGCATCGGGCCCGGATGAACTATCACCCGTAGTACTCAAGGTATTTGCGGATACCCTTTCAGCCCCATTGTTAAAAATATTCAATGACTGTCTCACAAGTGGAAAAATTCCTGGTATTTGGAGACTGGCCAAGATAACTCCCGTTCCTAAAAAGGAACCTGGGAAATATCGTCCCATCGCCTGCACGTCAGTCATGCTCAAATCATTTGAGAGATACTTGTTACCTTGAGTTGTCACTGAGTCTAAAGGAGACGACATACATCAATAGGCATATCGTTCTTCGCGCTCAACACTTGATGCCATTGCATATTTTGTTCATTCAATAATTCCGGCACTAGATGAGAAAATTGAGACCGTCAGAATGATGTTCTTAGATTACAAAAACGCTTCCCGCAGTCTTGATCGATCAGTATTGCTCAACCTGATTACTGAAAGTGGTGTAAATTCAAACGTTAGCAGACCGATCTGTGATTATTTCACAGACAGAAATCAGTT